TTTTTGTTGGGATTTTTTTAAAGAACTAAGCTCAGGAAAGTGTTTTTAATTTGTTGTTCATTATTGTTTCTTTGTTTTCTTTTCTCATTAAAAACAACAACAACAACAAAAAAACCCCTTTCCACCCAGCCTTAAATTTTCAGGCTAGGTGCAGGGCAGAGAAAACTTTAAAGTTTAAATTTTTATCCTTTTTATCTTAAGTTTAATGTGGAAATCGTTTTGGGCTCATGAACTCTGATAATTTCAGTATAATAAGAGAAATATAGGAATAAAGTTAAAATAAAAGAAACTCTCAATTTAAAGAGTGAAAAAATCAAGAAATAGGCTCATGCCCAATAGGTAGAGTAATAAAGATAAATATTTGAATAAATTAGACGCTTCAGCTGAAAAATTTTTAAAGAATAAAATCTCTAAATTAGTAAAAATAAATTTTTTATTATGAATTTTAGTAAAAGTTTACAGATGCTTTGGATTTCCATTCATTCTTTGTTGCACTTTTCTCCCTGTCCACCCCTCCCCCCAATTCACTCTTCTCTTTGAAAAGTAAAAAAAAAAAATTCTTGCATTGTTATACAATCCCTCCTCCCATGTCCACTCCACTATGCTGCCTTCATTCTGGACTCCTGTCATGACAATAATCCTAATCATGTATCCCTTTTAAATAGTTCTCTCCCTCATCTGTTTCAATGCAGCATACATTATTTATCCCATCTTCCTCAGTCTCCCCTCAACCCTGATGTCAGTCCCATTTTACAACAGTGACACTATGCAATACTTATCCTTTTGTGACTAAAAGATTTCATTCAGCATAATGTCCTCCAGGGTCAACTATTTTGTATAATATTTCATGAGTTCCTTGTTTTTCAATGTAATATTGTATTCCACTGTGTGATTTAATTAACAGCCAGGCATAAGCTAATTTGGTTGTTTGATTTAGTTAAACTGGCTGGTTGCTTTGATTGAATTAGCAATCAGTTGTGGGCTGGAAGCCTCTTGTTTAAACCAATCAGGATTCAGTGGGCCAGCCTTTGTGATTAAAAGTCAGTGTGAAAACTGATTTGCTATTAGAGGTACATATGAAATTGGCACTTTGTTGTGTTTGAGGAGAACATTGTTCTAATTGGTACATCACTTGTCTATCAGTTTGCTGTACTGAGATAACTTGTGGGTTACTGTGATACTAAAAGCTGTGCCAGTAGTGTGTCAAATGCCATAAGTTTTGCTCATTTTAGTAGAGCTCCCAGATTAAAACAGAGTAGGAAGCAGGATTGGCCATCCATTTCTTAAATAAGAAACCTTTGAAAACCCTGTGAACAGTAAAGGAATGCAGATAGTTACTAGTAGTGTGGTATTAGAGACCAGATCAGAAGTTAGTTGAAAAGAGGAAAAAACGGTGACAAACATCGTTTAATGGAATGTATGTAGCTTGAATGTTGGTAAACTGGAAATTGTAAAAAGTTAAATGGAACACATTAATATTAACATAGTAGGCCTTAATTAATGAGATGCTCTAGCTTTGGCCATTTTTAATCAGATATGGTGTACTACGCTGGAAATGAAAACAGAAGAATAGTATGGTCAAAAAGTCAATTTCAAGTTCCATCCTTAAATACAATGTTATGAGTTATAGGATATATAACTTTTATTAACTTTATACATATTTTATTAACTTTATAACTTTTATATTAACATGACTTTTATTCAAATATATGTTCCTACATCTGGAAGAGGAAGAAATTGAGAATTTTTACCAAATCTTGCAGTCTGAAATTAACCATATATGCAGTGTAATTGGAAAATATGGGCTTGGTGACGGAAATGAAACGAAGTAAAATGATTTTTTTTTTCTTTTCAGTGCTTTCTTCACTGCAAATACCTTTTTGTTTTATTTTTTTGAAAATACCTTTTAAAAAAGACAGAAATGACTTTACATATGGATCTCACCAGATGGGCTACGTAGAAATCAAATTGTCTAATCTGTGGAAAAAATCATTGGAGAAGCTCAATATCAGCAGTCAAAACTAGGCTGGGTGCAAACTGTGGGTCAAACCACCAATTACTCGCATGCAAGTTCAAATTGAGGCAGAATAAAATGAAAATAAGTCCACAAGAACCAGGATATGTTGTTGAATCTATATCAAGGATATAATTCATGAAGAGAGCAAAAGACAGAGGAGAAAGAAAAAACCAAAATAGATGTCAGAAGAGTCTGAAAATTGCTTGGAGTCGAGATATTTTTAAAATGCTATTTAGAAGATAGAATTCCAGTAAAGTATGAAGATAGAAGTTCCTGTTCAAATGCAAGTCACAATCCCTATACAGCCGTCAAAGGTTTGTGTAGGTCAGATGTTCCTGGAGGGGGTAATACAGAGGCACTCCCAATGTGAGTTCAGAGATTGCTCACTGTGGTAAGGTAAGGGGTTTGTATACAGGCCATATAACAAAACATTAGGGACAATGTTTCTATCCAGGATCAAGATTACTTTCTTGTTAATAATTAGACAAATTAAAACAAAACAATGTACAGTTGTTGTTGAGTTGATTCTGACTCTTAGTGACCCCATGTGTGTTAGAGTAGAACTGTGTTCTATAGTTTTCAGAGGTTGATTTTTAAAAATAGATCTTCAGGCCTTTTTTATCAGGTACCTCTGGGTGGACTGAAGCATGTTAACTGCTTGTGCCACTTACGGTTCCCTTGACATTTCAGAACTTAATTCCTAGGACAGCTGCTCTTATATAGCATGAGAATAGGGGTTCCTGAAGAAGGTATGACTAGGCACATTTATAGCACACATTCTGAGATAAATTTCTGCTCAAGACAAGGACAGAGCCTAGTATAAAACCTCAAAAGGAGGACTTTTGTGGAGCAGCAGGCCTTTAGAGATTTGGGGCAGTCCTTGGCAACCTCTGTATCTAGCATAGACTACTGTGATATTGCAGTGAATTATTCAAGATTGCTAATGTGGTAACCAGATAAAGGTATATTGCTTATATGAAGACTGCTTCTTACCCATAATATGGACTGGATCATGGTACAAGTCTTTTCATGTTCAGGATATACGGACCTCACAATTCCCATCTCTGGGGCTCTGAATAAGAAAGCAGTAAAGAGAAGCAACCCAGTTAAATGTGACAGGCACCCAATTTGCAAGTAGTTCATTCTATTCAAAATCTTAAACTGTGTGGTCAGTACTATGTCTGTGCTTCATTTTTTTTTCATTAGTAAGATAAGTATGCATATATTTTCTTCTGATTTTTCCCCCCTTCAGTTGTCAATGAACAGATAAATGCCTTCCAGCCTACTGTCTGATCCACAGTGAGCCCTCAGAACAAGGCTGCCAACCTGAAGGCACACAGTTTGAATCCATTAACTGTTCCATGGGAGAAAGATAGGCAATCTCCTATCTGCCTCTGAAAACCCTCTGGAGGGTCGATCAGCTTTGCTCTGGCTTGATAATACATAACAACAATGAACAATGACATGATAAGCAGCACGTTACTGAAGTGGCTATATTACAGACAGCTGGGCTCCGCGCCTTGCCACCCCTTAGGGAGCTTTGCAGCATAATCTGTAGCGCGTTATGCTGCTAACCCAGAGACAACACTTTTCTGGTAGTTTGAATCCACCAATAACTCTCCATAGGAGAAAGATGGTCAATTTCCTCTCGTGATTTAGAGCCTCAGAAAACCTGCTGGAGAGTCAGCTGTGAGTTGGTTCCAGTTTGACAGCAATAGGAAAGTTAAAGAAAGACACAACCTTTGAACCTATCTGACTTGAGACATTACCTGACTCTAAGTTTGCTCCCATGTAAATGTTTGTTAAATTTAAAGGCAGTTTACATTTTAGGAGGAGAGTTGGCATTATGGGGAACTTCCTATCCATTAGGGTCTAAATATTACCTGCAGAGGACTTTTAATTTTTTTTTTCTTTTTAAAGAAATTTTATGTTGGCTTGGACTTTTTGCCTTCCAAATTTCCTTTCTCTACTAGTTCCTACAGGCCTACAAGCTAGCACAAGGTAAGAGATGAGCAACAGGAAGATAAATGGACAACAAGCCTACTGCCCAGCACTGGCCTTCAGATCATCTTGAAGGCTACCATTCCAATCCCACCTTTTCTCTCTTTTCCCTTCCTGAATATGTCTTTATCTTTAGAGATTCCCTGATTTACATCAACTGAAATGACACATTTTGATACTTCCACAAGCTATTCACATAATCAGCAACTCAGAGGCATGGTGACATGGGTGTATATCACATGATTTACTTTTTCTCTCTTTGTCTCCCCCACTGCCTCCCCACATATATACACAGAGAGGCTTGTAAGGCTTTTACATAAATACTAGCATTACCAGATTCACAAAGGCTTTCTTACACACGGTTCCTCAGTCATGCTGTTATGATTTAACATACCATTATACCTAATTCTTGTTCAACATTCCTAAAATATGTATTGGTCATCTTGTACTCAGTACATATGCTGTCACACTGTCTCAAAGATCACCCAGAGTCATGCATAATCACACAAGTACAATCCCACATCACATACTATCTCTGCATCTTACAATCATACTTGGTCACAATTATATAATGCAATTGGCAAGTTGCATACTGTTTCTCACCATAGTGTGGATGCATGTATCATATCACATAACCTGGATACATGCAGTTTTTCACAGACTGCTACAATCATACATCATAATCTGTACTCATTAAATGTCATAGGTGCCTACACAGCCTCATACATACTGTCCTCAATTGTACTCAATTGTACATTGCAGTCATAAACTCATTAAATAATCACATACACTGACATACACACTACCCAACACTGCTATTTATTTGTCATATTTAGATTTACACCTCCAGTTTCAAGACTTTGGTCATAGTATTGTACAAAAGATATGAAGGTCCAGATCTGGGGCCCAGAGGGTTGGATTGTATAGATTGTAGTAGGCTAGGGCATCTATTCTTATATGGAGCTAGGACACCACTTTCACGCTCATGAGCTCAGTGGAGCCACCACAGTGGCAGTGGTGGTGGAAGGTATGGAAGCTGTTGGGAAAGAACTTGTGGGTGAACCCAGTAGAGGTCCTGGGAAGGGCATGAGGTGACTAACAGGCCCCGACAACACCACAGGACCCAGGCCTTGGTAAAGATGAGTAGTACTAGATGAATCTAATGTCAAGCCTGGGGCCATTTCACCACAATTTCCACTACCATTGCCTCCAGCCATCACCATGAATCCACCAGTTGGTCCTTCAACTGCTACTGTACTACCCAGGCTCGATCCTCGTTTCTTTTTCCCTTTTCCAGATGCCTTGCGATTTCGAGTCTGAATACCATCCTTCCTCATGGTCAGTGGCCGATTTACCTGTCAAAAGGGAGGCCATGGGTGTTTTTTACTTTAGACCTTTGCCTTGCTATGTCTATACCCAAGCACATCCCACCCCACTTTTTTAAAAATTGAAATTTAATTTTTTAAAATTTAATTTTCAATTATTTTTTTTTATTTTAGGGAATTGACTAAAGGAATAGGAACATGCTCTCAGAATGGTACAGGTATTTTCTTAATAAATTCTGAGAATGTAAAGTCCTGAGTATGTGAAAACCTCTAAAACCAATAGGAGCTGCTCAATAGAGGAATGGATGTTAGATGATGACTGAATATGGGGAAAGGGGAAGGTGAAAGGAGATAGGAGTTGGAGAAAGGAAAAGAGATCAAAAGAGAGGAATTAGAGAGGATAGAGTGGAAGGGAGGGAGGAGATTAAGGAAGGAAGATAGGATACTAATAGAGAAGGAAGGAGAGAAAATAATAAGAGGAAAAAAGAGAAATAGAAGAAGAGGCAGAAGCAATAGGGAAGGAAAGTAAGAGAGAAGGGAGAGGAAGAAAAAAAGACGGAAAGGGATAAGGAAGGGAAGAGGGATTATGAGGGGAAAGAGGATGTTCAGGACAGAGCAAGAGCAGAGTGAAGAGGAGTAACATGATGTGAGGTCAGGGAAGGCAGAGAAGGAAGGTTTAGAAGGGCGAGGACTCACTTGATGGAGCTTGTAGTAAAGTCCACAGGCATTGCACACAGGGTCCCCACTGGAATTTCTCCGCCACAGTGTTGTAGTTGTTGTCTGGCAGTTGGTACACTGGGTGCCTGCTCGCTTGCTGACAATCTGAAAGAAGAGAGAATGTGAAAATTAGTGTGGAGATAGAAGTAGGGACTAAAGGGCTCACACAGTATGTCAGAAGGACTCGAGATGAAGGTCAGAATGAAAGCAGGGCTCATAGAAGAGATGTCTGTACAGAATGAGGTGATTCTGTGTGTGGTAAAAATGGGGCTTCCTAGTGAGATAAGGATTTATTTGCATTATATGGAGATGAATAAATATCATTTACTCTCAACTTTGATATCACTTGAGGAGTTAAAAAATTCTAATGCTCAGAGAGCACCCAAGTACAATTAAGCTATATCTAAGGGAGAATATTTAGACCCCAGTTATTCTGAAGTGCACACTAAGTTGATTTCAAAGTGAAGTCAAGGATAAAAATACTTTTACATAGGATGAGGGCAGAGGTTTCTGTAGGGTTTGAGGACAAGAATTCGCATTTGAAGGCTCTAAGAATAGGATAAGAAGATAGTTTGGGATAAGAGTGCCTGTACACAGATGGATAAATGCAGGATTTCATATATGGGGACAAGTGTTCCTCTACAGGATGAATTCAAGATTTTCTCTATAGGATGAGGACAAAGATTCCCGTTTGAGGGAAGGGAAGGGATTCCTATACAGCATAACAGAATGTTTTCCTATGTAGGACAATGGCAAGAATTACTTACTGTATGATGTTTAAGACCAGAGCTTCTAAACAGAATTATGGACAGTAGATTCCTGTAAGTGTGAGGATAAGAGTTCCTATATATCTGATGTTCTATAATGTGAGGACAGTAATTCCCACAAAGCATGAGGCAAGGATTCCTGTAGAGTGTGAGAACGGTAGTTCCTGTATAAAGTAAGGCAGGCCTGAAATCTTACCAGGCGCTTCTTGGGTCGAATGAGGGGCCGGTTCTGCCCATTCATCTTGTGATAGAGGCCACAGGCATTACATAGATAGTGGCCGGTCCTGTCCCGTCGCCACAGTGGAGTGGCTGTTGCTCCGCAGTTTACACACTCCCTGGCTTCTGATGGAGTGAGTAGAAGGGAAAAGGGAACCAGGTTCAGCTCAGCTCTGCCTTGGACCGCCCCATCCCACCTCAATCTCCATGTCCCTTTTTGAGAATCTCACCACAGGGCGGCAGAGGCAGAGTTCCACGCAACTTAGGGGAGGAATAGGTCCCTGGAGTGAGAGGACTCCCAGTGGGAGAGAAGAAGGTACTGGAAAAGTCAGGACCCCCATAAGCACTGTTGGGGACAGAGAGTGATGAAGGCAGTGCAGACCCCAGGGTCAAGAGGTCTGGACTCAGTCGCTCTGTCTTTAAGGTATCCAGGAAGCTGATGTTTCCTTTCGCATCTGGATCTTCAGAGGCCTGGAAAGGGGACTCCTCTCGGGTAGGGCACACAGTTGAGGCAGGATAGAGCCCTGTTTTGCCATAGGCCCAAGCAGCATATGGTGAATTCCCTGGAATCCCCTCCATACAGTTGAGCAATGGGTACACCTGAAAAACTGTTGAGGGATGGATGGGGGGTGGGGAGTAAAGAAAATATCAGTTGTAGGTCACTACCATGCCTTTCAGAATGCAGTGGTGCCCAAAAGCTCCAACATAGTGACCAAGTGTCCAACTTTTCCACTAGAACAGGTTACTAAGACAGTTGCCAGTCATTGGGTCACTCTTGGGTCCTGACCTCTACTGGTTTATTCTGGCAACCACAATAACATCCAATAATTTCTAAGTGGGATTTAGAAATGACTATTGGGATTTGGAGTCCCATAAATCTCTTGAAAACGAGGGCAGCCACCCTAATATTTCTTCTCATTATGACTTCTAATATTTCTTCTCAATATGTCAGGTAGGTCTATATGAAAAGGCTCCACAGTTATCTCCAGAATCTGGCTTGGTTAAAGCTCTCATGGCAACCCTAATAGCATTTAGTCTATGCTAAGAAAGTCACCACAATGGAGTTACCTGGGGAATGTCTGTAGGCATCAGCATCCCTGTAGTAAGCCAGTGCAGCAGCTGCAGCAGTGGCAGTGCTTGAAGCAGTGGAGGAGGCTGCTCTGTCCAAGCCTTCAGGCCCAGAGGGGAAGAAGACCCCAGATTCTGATGTTGAGGACACCAGGATAGGATCTACAAACTGAGGTAGGGGCTCTGAGGTCCCAAGGGCCCCCAGGCCAGGGAACTCCATGGAGCCTTTGGAGTTTGACCTGTGCAGACAGGAAGGGAGTCTCAAAAACAGAAATGGTCCTACACCCACCTCTTTCCACCTCCTCTTTTTCACTTCTTTATTTCTATCTTCTCATTCCCCAAGTTCTTTCTTTTCAACATCCTGTTACCCTCCTCTCCATCTTCCTTTTTCTCTCTCATCTTCCCTCCCATTCCTCCTTTATCTTTCCATGTCTTCTCCTCTATCTTCTCAACTTTCCATCCTTTCCCTTCTTTTATCTACTTCTATACCCTTTTCTTCCTCCTTTCCTTCTGCTCCTCCTTCCCTCCTCTATCTCCTCTAATCTCTTTTCTTGCTCCTCTTCATCTTCTCTCCCATTGTTTTTACTCTTCTACTTCTTGTCCTCTTCTATCTCCTCACTCCCTCCTCCTTTCTATCTCTCCTTTTCTCATCTCATCTCTTCGTGTATCTTCTTCTCTCAGTCAGCTTTATTTTCTCCCCCTCTACCCCTTCTCTTTTTTCCCCTCCACCTTTTTTCTCTCTCTTCACCTCTTTATCTTTCTCCTCTTTTTTACTTTCTCTTCTCTCTGCTTTTTCACCCACCTCATCTTTCTCTTCCCCTTTCTCTTATTATTTCCCTTTTCTCTTACTACTCCTTTTCTCCATCCTTCTACTCTTTTCCTCCTTCCTTCCTTCCTTCCTTCCTTCCTTCCTTCCTTCCTTCCTTCCTTCCTTCCTTCCTTCCTTTTTCATCTTTCACCTGTCTCCATTTTCTCTTCACTCTTTTCTCCTTCACTTCTCCTCTTCTCATCTACTTCCTCTTATTTTCCTTCTTTCCCTATTCCCTCCCACCTCCATAAGAGTGTGGATAAAGGTGGAATGATGCAGCCTCAGGCAGGGTTTCTTGAACTCCTTAGTCATCCACTTTGGGGTTCACTTTCCTATATTCCTCAACTTCATTCCTATCTATTGCATCTTATCTTCTGACTTTCTTAGAAACCCCATGGTTTCCGGCTTGAGTCTTCCCTCCCCCATCTCCGCTGGGTCTGAAGACAGGGGGGGCCTCTCAGTTCCTCCCTGTTCCATGGGAGGGTCAGTACCCCTACCGCTTATCTTTGCCATCCTTAACTAGGAAATTACTCCAAGGCCACTGGTTTCTTCCAAGAGATCTGGTGGGAGGTGTTTCTTCTACCTCTATTAACTCCCTTGCTATAGTTCTGTTTTCAGGATCTTTCTGTTCTCACCATTCCCAGGCCTCCATTTATCAGATGGGGGGCAGTGCAAAGGCTGAGCTGAGATCTGTGAAACTGCTGTGTAGTCTTTGTTGTCCTCTTTGTCTCTTTGTTTTCCTATTTGTATCTTTTTCTCTACCTCTCTATCTACGTGTCTTTTTTCCCTGACTCTGTTTCTTCTCAAGTCTGATTCTCTTTTTTCCTCATCCCTTTCTATGCTTCTACGACATATATTTTCCACTTTCTTTGTGCACCTTTATAAATGTCTAATGTTTTTTCTTCTTTCTTTTTCCATCTCTCTCTCTCTCTCTCTGATTGTCTTTCTCCATCTTTATTTCTGACTATACCTTTTTGTTGTTGTTCCTATCTCTTTCTCTGTCTCTTTTTCTTTCTTAGTTTATTATCTTGATATAGCTCTTTTGTCTCTTTATTTCCGTCTCCACTCTTATCTCTCTGAACATAGCTATGTATGTCTCCACCTTTATCTCTTTCTGTGCTCACTACTCTGTCTCTTTCTGTTTGTCTCTTCTCTTTCTCTTTGTACTTTCTGGCCTTCTTTCCACAATTCTCATGTCCTTGCACCCCACTGCGCACAACCCAAGAAGGGAGGCAAAAACCTGGGTTCCAGTTTTTCTCCTGCTGTTTCCAGGCCTTGTGAATCTTTCCATGCCTGTAGAATAGAGTGATAGGGAATAGACTAGATCATCTTTAAAATGCCCACTTATGTGATCCATTGTGCAGGCAGGTTAAGAGTTAGGCCCAGGGTTAGGGTGATTTGGGAGGTGGGGAAATTTGTTCGTGAATACATCTACCACCCTCCCCTCCACTCTAGGGTCTCTTACTAGCTCTCACTGGAGAGAGCATATCACTGTGATCTCTCCATTTCAACCTTCATCTCTCTTTTCTTTGTCTCTAATTCTTTGTTAATCTCTGTCTCTACAGGATTTTTCTTTTTATCTGGAATTATCTTCCTGAATTTCTATTTTGTCTCCTTTCTTCTCTGTTCCTAGATCTCTCTTTGTCTCCAGCACTATCTTAACTATGGCCTTTCTGTTTCTTGTTCTTTGACTCTATTTCTATCCTTTTTAAAAAAAATTTTAATTTTTATTTATTTTTATTTTTATTTATTTTATCCTTTTCTCTCCCTTAATGTCGGTAGTTGATTCTTTTCCTCTGCTTTTTTCTGTTTCCATCTTTTTCTCTTCTCATATCTCTATTCCCACTATTCTCTTATCTTATTCTCTTTTCACCTCCCTCTATGAACATTGTCCCCAACTTGTGCACTCAGCACCTTGCCAGGCTCAGAGCTGCTCACCCCTCCCACAACAGAGTTCTGGCATCCCTTTCCCCAAGTTATCACTCTCCTGACAGAGATAAAGCTTATCTTGAGGCTAAAGAATATGAAGGCTCCTTATCAACTGCCCCACTAGAGTATGTACTGCTCCAATGGTAGCAGACAACAACCTGGCACCCTTACCTCTCCCTCAGCTCCAGCCCCACACCCCAGGTAAAAACCTTATCCCAGTCCTCAAAGGAGGATTCCCTAGGGACTGAATGGAACAGAGGTAGTATCTGGAGTTTAGATAGGAGGATTAGGGTCTTGGAGGATTGGAGGCCGACTTTGAGAGTTAGATATGACTTTGAGGAGTCAAACAGAGAGAAATTAAGAGTGTGGACATGGATTTTGGGAGAAGTAGATAAGATAGGAATTTTAAAAACAGAGACAAATCGGAATGTTCAGAAACACATTTTGGGTTCAGAAATTGTCTGGGAAAGCAGAGAGGGAGTTGGAAATTTTTGTGAAGTTTGATCAAAATTCAGTCTCAAACTTATTGCTTTTGAGTCAGAAATGAGTCATAGCTGACCCTCCGGTGGGTTTTTAGAGGCTGTAAGTCACACAAGAGGAGATTGTTCATCTCCCAGAGCTAAATATTACAAGTTGAAGATGTAGCCTGGGGGTCAGAGATGGATTTTTTAGTATTATAGAACAATTTAGAGGACCCAAGGGTTTTGTTAGAACATAAGTGGAATTTAGGTGCTGAGGTAGGTTTAGGCAGACAGAAACACATAGAAACACAGAATTTGAGAAATGAAGACAGAATTTGGACAGAGAAAAGCTTGAGGCTAGAGATGAGGTGTTGGGGGACAGAGACATGTTTTGGGGACAAGTACAGTGTTTAAGGAAGGCAGACATGAAGGTTCATGGAGATTCTTGAGGGTAAATTTAATATTTGAAGTGACAAAGACATTTTGTTAAACAAGCAGGAGATTGTGGGAGCAAAATGAGAGGATCAGAGAAAAGTCATTAGGAATAAATATTGGATTTGAAAGTCAGAGGTGGTGGCAAAAGGGTAGAGCTAGAGTTTGAAAGGTCAGCGAGAAATTTAAGGGATTAGAGAGGGAATTTTGAGTCATAGGATGTTGCATGGAGCAGACAAGAGGCTTGGGATTGGAAATGGATTTGAGGGAGCAAAAGTGAGGTTTTGAGGAGAACTCAGACAAAAGTCTAAATGAAAATCAGACTGAGGCAGAAAGAGCAAAGATGGGACTTAGGAAATGGGGATGGGGACAGTTAAAGGATCAAGGGAATAGAACTATATAGAAGGAATGGATAGGAGTCAGTGCAGAGAGGCTGGATTTAGGGAGTAGAGTTGAGGCAGAGATGGGGATTGGATACACAGGGGTGGATTTTGAAGGGCTATGAAGAGATTCAGAAGTAACAGATATTTGGATCCAGCAAGAAGAATAGCTATGAGATTAGGACAGCAGACTTGGGATTTGCCTTGCTGAGGCTCTTTGAGGACCCACACTGACCTGGGTTGGTGAGTATAGAGGGTTCAGCTGCCTCTGGGGATGTGGTGAGCTCAAGCTTGATGTGATCCCAGGAGATAGCTTGGCTAGCCTTGGCCTTTGAGGGCTCCCTTCCTCTCTCACCTCTCTCTCCTCCCTCCTCCCTCCTTCAGGGAGTGGTTGGTGCCCCAGTAGGTGGGGCATCCTGGTGGAGGGGTGGGCTCCCTACTTGCAGAGTACTTTATGGTTGGTCCCTGGGGATTCTCTCTGACCCAACTATCCATTCTGTAGTGGTTGCTTGGACTCCTATGAAATTTAACATCTGACCAAGTGAAATGAATTGAAATGAGATAACCTGAAAATAGTAGATACAGTTTTATGACTTCCCTGAGTTTTCCCATGAGTGTTTGTAAAGCCCCAAATGTGTGCTTGGTCAAGGGTGGGCTGGACTCTTATGTATGTGAGTCATCCTAACTGTAGAGAGAAGGATACGATTGTACTTATTCTGCAGGCAAAGAGAATGAGGCTTAGAACGTTCAGGTGGAGAAAAGTGAAACAATGAATGAATGGAAATGCAAAAAATCTCTGTAAATGTTCATTAAAATTAATAAAATAAAATTTTTTTAAAAAAAGAAAGTTCATGTGGGATCTGAACCAGAGCCTGTGGGACACTTTGATGACCCAGGCCCAGTTTAGGGGCCGGGTCAGGGCTGGTTGGAGGCAGGGGCACACTAACTCTGAGCCTCACTGGGGCTTACGCCAGTTTTGGCCTGCCCTGGGCTAGCAGATAAGTCTTATCAGATGGAGGCGACTGTGGCTGTTGGCTGTGGTAACAGGCTGTCTTGGGGTTGGGGGTGGGGCTCAGGGGGTGTCCATGGCCTCAACATCTCATGCATTAATGGAGGCGAGAAACTGATATGGAACGTAGGGTTGATGCCTCTGTGAATCTTTGAAGACAAGGTGAAGGAAGGGAAGGGAAGGAAACAGAGAATTGAAGGGACAGAGACCAAAAAAAGAAGCAGAGAGATAGAAAAGGGATCAAAACAGAGCTAGAGAGAGATTGAAGTGATGAGAAACAGAAAAGAACAATTAAACAGAACAAGAGCTTGGAAGGAGACCTACACAGAGAAAGACAAATCTACACAGATAGATTCAAAGACAGTTAAAGAAATCTAGAGATGCAAGAGAACAAGAGATAGAGATATAGCTAGAGGAAGGGGAGAAAAGTCCTAAAAGTGGCAAAGATCAAGAACAAAAATGGTGAAACTGAGAAAGAAGATACAGATAATGTTATATAGAGACATTCAGAGACCAGGGCAGGCAAGGGGGGAGAGCAGAGCACAGAAACTGAGAGTGAGTTCAGGAGACCCCAGATAGTAACCTAGGCTAAGCCCTGGAGTTGTGGTACTGGGGTGGGTGGGAGAGGGCACTATGGATGATTGCTATGGGGGACCCCTAAAAGGTTACTGGACTGTATAACCTCAGTCCCCACCCCACTGTGATTTGTTCCACCACTTTCCCACAATAGTAACAATAACAATCACTACAGGATCCCCATGTTCAATCATCTAAAACACACAGTAGGTGCTCTGTTTGTGGATCACATCAAGAGAGAAATCTGAGGGATTAAAGAGGGAATTTTGAGTCATAGGATGTTGCATGGAGCAGACAAGAGGAGGGAGCAAAAATGAGGTTTGGAGAACTCATACAAAAGTCTGAGTGAAAATCAGACTGGGGCAGAAATAGGGTTTTGAGAGAATGAAAGCATGTTTTAAGGAGCAGAGATGGGATTAGGAAATGGGGATGGGGACAGTTAAGGGATCGAGGGAACAGAACTGTATTAGAAGGAATGGATAAAAGTCAGTGCAGAGAGGTTGGATTTAGGGAGTAGAGAGTTGAGGCAGAGATGGGAATTGGATACACAGGGGTGGATTTTGAGGGGCTATGAAGAGATTCAGAGGTGACAGATATTTGGAGATTTTGTGTTGTGGTGCCACTCAGTCAAGCATCTGTGCCTATTTGTCTGTTAGGGTGATCAAAACTCAGAGATGGCAAAGGACAAGGATGGAGGTCCAGGTTAGTGGAATCTGCTCACCTTATAGCCCACCTCAGAAGGAGTTTACTATCTTCATTTTGAGCCTCATTGTCTGCATATGTAAAAGAGGAGTTTTGAAGAGAAGAGAGCAAAGTAACAACTTCCTATTTATTGAGTTCTTGCTATGTGCCACACCCTGTGATGAGCCTTCATTAGTAAGAATGAGGATAACAAAGACATCTATGACTTAATTGGTGATGGTTCAGGGCATAGTTTCATTCATAGACAGTCCTTACTACTTACTAGTTGCATGACCCTGGGTGAGTTACTATCCCTTCTGGACCTCATTGCCTTATCTGTAAAAATGGGGTAACAATACTAATTGCTCAGCAAAGTAAAGTGGGAGGGTAAATGAGTCTTCACCACTTGAACCTGAAATTTCAATTAATATTAAGTATTCTTAAAGAACTGAAGAGCAATGGTGTCACTCGGGAAACTAAGGTGTGCCCGATACAGGCCATAGTCTTTGCAGTCACTTGCTATGCATCAGAGAGCTGGGCAATGACTTCGGAGGATAGAAGGAAAATTGATGCCTTTGAGCTGTGGTGCTGCTCAAAGTATTGAATGTACCATGGACTGCTAAGAAAATGAACAGGTTCATCCTGGAGAGGGTTAAACCAGTCTGGTCCTTGGAGGCAAGGATTCTGAGGCTTCATCTGACATACTTTATACATGTTGCAAGGAGGGACCGGTCCTTGGGGAAGGACGTTATGTTTGGGAGGGTGGAGGGGACAGCCCAGGAGGGGAAGACCCTCTATGAGGTGGATTGATTTAGTGACTGGGGTAATCGGGGTGCGTGTGTTGGAGACAGGGAGATTGGCACGGGACAGAGCAGGGTTTAGGGCTGTTGTACATAGGGTTGCTATAAGTCGCAAGTGACTCGACGGCACATAACAACAATAACAACACCCACTGTGTAAGAGTATACCTACTGTATAAGAAGCACAGTACTTCGCCTTTTCTTACTAACACTAGTACTGATCTAGTACCAAATGCTAAGTAGTATATGCTGACACCAATACTAATACAATTTCTAATTATTAATTCTAATATTGATACTAATGTTAAAATTCATTTGCTTTGTAATAATCCGTTGATGCTAATTATAACACTAATATCATTGTTAATAGTACTAAACACTAATTCTAAAGCTAACAACTATTATACATTCTAATTCTAACAACAATAATAATAACAACACTCATATGGATTCTGATACTAACAATTTTACTAACACTGATATAATAATAACAGCAGCAACATTATTTACAAAGTAATGGCTATATCCTGAGCACTATGCTAAATTTTCTCAATGCTTAATTTTATCCCATTCTCATCAAGACTTTGTAGATGGGTGCATATAATTATCCCTATCTTTTAAACTGAAAGGAGGTGGGAGGTGCAGAGAAATGAAGGGGCTTATCTTGTTGCATGATTTCTAGACAAGCCACCATTTTCAGCTTCAGTTTATTCACCTGAAAAATGGATATAATCATAGAACCCACATTGAAAGTAGTCACTCAGCACAGGGCCTGTATCACACCATGGATGGTGTGCTCCATAAATGCTAACTCTTATCATTGTTCTTATTATTAGAAACAAAAATTGCAATGTTAAGAGTGAAGTTGGGTGATCTGCTTTCATAGGACAGGGCAGGCCAGAGGGGCACACACCCAGGGTTTGACTGCTGAACTCACACTTCATTTCTTCATTTCTGAAGAAGACTAAAAGTTCAGGAAGGAAAGTAAGGGATGGGTAGTGGGGTGTCTCAGGCCCTGCCTCCACTGACAGCTAGAAACCCTAAGACTCTGAGGCTAGACCTCACCCTATTCCCTCCCCCAACTCCATGGAGAGGGCATAGGCCCAAAAAGCCTGCAGCAGGCAGCAGGGAGGCATCTGGGAGTAGGCAGATAAGGGAATCAGCGGGACCAGACTTTGGTAGAGGTCAGGATGGGAGTGGGGGTGTGTGTGTGGAAGGGGTGGGTTAATGTTCAGGCCAGCTGCCTTCTTAATGTCAGACTCAGCTTCAGTGTTCTATCCTCCTGAAGAATTTCCTGACTGACTCTCTCACTCCAGCATCTTCAGGGATTCCACACCCCAGAACCAACCAGGTCTAAGGCATTTGTATGTTTTGCGCCTTATCCAGACTGTGGAATTCATCAAAGTGGAAATGGAGTAAAAGTGTACCTTCTCTAAGACAGACCTGTTTGTTCTTCTAGCAGTTTGATATATTCAATACGCTTCTGCAGCACCACAACTAAAAGGCATCAATTCCTTTTTGGTCATCATTATTCATTGTTCCACTTTCAGATGCTTTGGGGAAAACTGAAAAGATAAGGACATGGATCTAGCACACCTTTGCCCTTCATCTGGTAATCTTTGCTCTTTCACATTTTGGAGAGGTCCTGAACAGCAGAAATTTGCAGCATAACATTTAAAAAACAAAACAAAACAAAACAAAAAACCCCAACCAAATCCACAACTAATATAACTATCAGTGTTGATTGTGGATCCAAGAAAAATTACATACTTAACAACATATATCTTTTCTCCATCTATCATGATGTTGCCAATTGACATAGTGGTTAGGATTTTTTTGTTTTCTTGATTTTGAAATGTAATCCACATTAAAAGCTGCACTTTTTGTCTTTTGCAAAAGAAATAAAAAAAAAAAGTCACCTCTGAGTTGATAGCATAGACAGAGATGGGGAGCAAAGCCTGACCAAGGAATTAAATGTTAGTGCCTACCTAGTTTAAGAGTACAGAAAAGTAAAGGAGACTATAATAAACAATCACCCTTGTCAAACTTTAAGTAAACCAATTTAAAAAAATTAAAAAGAACTCTACAAGAAAGAAAAAAAAGTGGCCATTTTAAAAAGAAATACAATAGTACAGATATAACTGAAGAATTTGCAAGGATTCTATTTCCCATTTTTCTTCCACTACCTGATTGTGCTTATGTGAAACCTATACTTGGACCAGGAGGCAGTCATCAGAACAGAGCAAGGAAACACTGCATGGTTCAAAA